TCTTTCCCTTGCATCAGTTTGTCATAGTCTACTGATGGCCTTGTGAATAGATATTGCACGTTTTTCTCTTGTCAAAGATTGAGTAAATAATTAAGTAAATATTGGAACATTTCAGTGTTATTGTCATTTTCAGCTAAAATATTTTATATTTTTATAAATAAAATATAAAAATATTGGCTGTGATTGTTTCACATTGTACAATGGTTTCACATGCAGCTCCTGGTTAGGACACAGTGCTAAGAAGCAGCTATTACAATTGTAGAACAGTTTTAAGACTGTTTCGAAAGGATGAAACTCAAATTCAAGGTAATGATGACTGGAAGGGAGCTGTGCTGGTGCTGGCCTCCTGGGCTTTTGGGCTGCAGTTCTTGCATTTAATGCTGAAATGAGAGAGTTACTGAAAGGAGAGGACTTATGCTGCGTTCCAGGCAGGTTTTTGAGCCCATAAGTCACGACTTCAAACCACGACTCACGACTTTGTAGCATTCCAGGCAAGTCACGCCAAACTGCCTGAGCGCAAGGAATTGTGGTAGCTAGATGTAAACAAACCAGCATGGCGAACCGTACGGGGCTTGTGCTCACTGTGAGCTGGCTAGCTAAACATTGTATGCCTAATTTCGCTATGCTGAGAAATTGTACATTACATAATTTTTTTTTTATAAGCATGATCGTTTGCATGGTCAAGTTCAGGTTTACCTAACGTTATCTTAACGTTAGCTATGCCCAACATTTCCATGTAGTGATATACTTTCACAACATACTTATGGTTTCAGACACATAACATTGTAATACATAATCGTGTGTGTATTATTTATTATTATTATATTATTATTAATTTGATTGCAACGTTATATTGTCCTAAAGTCTATTTCTCACCGTGTACCACTTGCATAAACACCACATCCGTAGGGGCTGCCATTGTTGTTTCGCGAGCTGTGACGTCAGAGTGCGGAACTGGGAGTACATCGATCTAGTACGAGTTCACGGGTGGGAAGTCACGGGTTTGACTGCCGTTCCAGTGCACTTTCATGGGTAGAAGGTTGGAAAAACACGGGTTAGGGGTTGCCTGGAACGCGGCATTAGTCAGCATTTCTCAGGCTTGCCAGCGAGCTTTCGGCAGCAGGGGGCGACTGAGCCCTGACACTACGCCCAGTTAATGTGCCAGAGGTGAAAATGAGGACCAGGGCTTGGCACTGCTGGAGAGAGGGGCATACAAGCCTACCCACACACACACATCCTCTGGCCAAGGACAGATGACCAGCAGGATCTGGCGTACACACTACACACAGAAGTGACTTGTGATAAAAATAACCACAAAAGGGCTCAGAGGACAGGGCGTTAGTTTGTACCGCAGAACTAGTCGTGAGCTGATTCAGTTTGTTTTGAGCAATGTAAAACAACCCTGACAATTAGGCTATATATTCAGTCGACCACAAGGGTCAGGGAATTTTAAAATTGTGATTTTTAGGCCTGGAAATCTGTATAATTTAAGATTAAAAAAAATACAATAAAAAATTAGAAATTGTTCTTTCCATGTCCAATCTCTTTAAAACCTAATCCAGTCATCAAAAGTGGAAGAAATAAATTTTTCCAACATGTGGGAACCTGATGGAAGAATTAAATGCCATTCTTCCTTTTATATCCTGGTGTAATGCATTCTATTCAATATGTTAGTATAGCATGTTTCACAATGCATATTGTTCCAAAGCAGCTTTAGAAAGAATAAAGGCTTACAATTCCCTGTGAGAAAATATCCATGCAATTAGGAGTTTCATTTAAGGGCGAAAGATTTCCTCATGTAGATTTCTGCAAATTTTCTATGCTGATGACACTAAAAGCCGCTTGGTTTTTAAAGTAACTTCCATGTGAGGAGTGTTTCATATATCTCCTCACTGTTGACAGTGGACCTATTTTTGCATGCAAACTTTAGCTGATGTGACTGCACCTTTAAACGCAATGTTGGGAGCACACTAAGGTTTACTTGTGCATTAAGTTTTGGACACTAAGCTGTAGTTTTATGTTGTGTTTCACTGTGCCCCTGCCCATCAGGAAACACCTTGTAAAAATTCCTGTCGTAAACAACACGTTCATTTCTCTGCTCTTCAGTATATGATCTAGACCCACTAGATTTTTTTCTACCTGTGATGTTGAGAATTTTACCATTTGTTTCTCCCATCAGATTGTGTCTCTTGAGAAGGATCTTGTTGATCTGAAGACTCCATCTAACAGTGATGTGGCCCAACTACTGGATTCTTATCAGGAACAGGTATGTGGCAAAAACAGACGTGACTCTTTTTAAAAACTTTTACAACCTGAGTGCCTGCCGTTACACTACACAGTGGTGGGCTTGTGTAAGCTGTCACCATAGCAACAGTATACAACACTGATGGATTTGCTTTCAGTGCATCTTTATATAGTTACAATTAAATGTTCAGCAAGCACCAAATGTACGTGGCGACACAAATGTGGAAGATTTTCTCACATTAAAGGAACATTTCATCCAAAATTACATTCTGTCATCATTTACCCACCATGTGTTTTTCCAAACCTGTATGACTTTCGTTCCTCTGTGAATTTCAATTACACTACCTGCCAAAAGTTTGGGGTCAGTAATTGTTTTAATTAATACTTTTATTCAGCAAAGATGCATAAAAAATGACAGTAAACACATCTATAAAGAGTACTATTTTAAAGAATTCAAAAAAGGTATCCAGGTTCCTTCAAAAATATTAAGCAGCACAACTCTTTTCAACGTTAATAATAATAATAAGAAATGTTTCTTGAGCACCAAATCAACATATTAGAATGATTTCTGAATGATCATGTGACTGAAGACTACAGAAATTACTGCTGAAAATTCAGCTTTGCCATCACAGGAATAAATCACATTTTAAAATGTATTTAAAAGTAGAACAGTTATTTTAAATTGTAATAATATTTTACAATAATCACAATAATGTTTTACTGTATTTTAATAATATTTTACAATAATCACAATAATGTTTTACTGTATTTTTTATTAAATGCAACCTTGAAGAGCAAAGAGTGAAAAAATGTTACAGACCCAAACTTTTGAACAGTACTATAGATAATGATAATAATAATAATAACTTTATTATATAAATTTTAAAAAAGGTATAAAATTATATATATATATATATATATACATATATATATATACACGCACACACACACCCTGGTTTCAGTATGCTATAATGAACATGAAGTTCAGTTTAGTGACAGTATTCCCAAGACTGTCCAAAAGCTCAAAGTCCTCTTCTGTGTTTTACTATACTCATTAGACTCATTATGGCTTAGTGGTATGGATTTATGGCCATCTGTGTTTAATGCTGTGAAGTTGTGTGTGCCGAACAGGAGTGTCTAAGTGAGGATTATTGTGACTCATACAGTCTTTACATCACGAAGCTTTCCAGAGATCCTCGGGAGGGAGGGACTTTCATGCTCCGGACAAACCACTTTCACAGACCCTTGCCAGACCTCTTATGATCATTCCTTTTATTTTATTCTCTTCTATTCTCAACTAATTATAATAGTAGCCTAATTAAAAATCTAAACACTGTGATTATTTACAGGTAGTCTTTGCATTATGATATGCCACTAAAGTGCACTGGATGTTAATTATGTCTGGCAATGCTCCTGCTTCAAAGAGAGTTTTATATACTGCAGCTGCCACTAAACCATAAAACCATACACTTATATTAACTTTGTTCATCAAGGTTGCACTTTAAAGCCTGTATATTGTTTGATACTAAAGATTAGATGGGGTGTATCCAGACCTGAGCAGATAAGAGAGGAATATAGACACTTTCATTCTAACAGTGAATTGTGATTCCATGTTACGGATTCTGTGACAATGTATTGAAATAGAGATATCTGTATCTCTAGAGCAGGTGTAAAATGAAATGTCACTGGGATTCATGTCACAGCTTTAAAGCACTAGGAGGGAGTAAATTAGTCTACACAAAAGATGAAATGATAAATGGCCTGAATCTGAAACAGTCAGTCAACATTGTACTAGTTTATAGTGTATTTATATATGCACTACCAGTGAAAATTTGGAATTTTTTTTTGTTTTTGAAAAATGTTTCTTATGCTTATTCTTCAGCTTCAGACACAGCCATGGTGTCTGACAGGAACAAAAATGGCCTCACACATATTCACACACAGATAGATGAGGATTGCAGTTGTCTGGGTTGAAATACAGCCCTGTATATGTGCTTCAGCTGGTGTGTAAACACAGACTGCTGTTATGTCTCCTCAGAGCAGTCTGGATGCTGAGAAACCTTTTGTGCTGCAAGAACAGACAGATGCCATCGACAGGTAAACCTAAACGCACTTCTCTCCTTGCTTTATTGTCATTTGCCTAACCCTAAACTAAAGCTCTCCCTTGAAATGGAAAACTAGCCTAACCTTTGGTTAGGTGTTAGGTTTTAAGTATAATTTTCAGTCTGATATTGCTTTTGAAATGGTCAAGTATGGTTATTAGTGATGCTTGCTGAAGTCAATTGACTATTGAAATTGGGGAGTTCTTAGCTGAATACACCTTTCTGAAGAACAAGAATGTATGTGCTTTAAAACATTCGTACACTTGCCCTATAGGCTTCCAGTGTAAGTGCACTACAGTTTTTTTACAACTTTTCAAAATGATCAAACATTTATAATTAAGCATCAGTTTTCATGCTTTTATAATTTTTATATTACTTGGTTCAACATTATGTTGCAATTCTTTTGAGATTCTGGATCAATCCACAAGAATTCATGATCAGAATTGTAGGTTAAATGTTGATCATTCTGTTTACTGAAAAATGAAAAAGAGGACAAACCTTTATAGATACAAATTATCTATCATTCAATCAATTATCTCAATTATCAGTTATCTATCTAGCAATTTTTGTAGATGTACACGTTTTTTTTCATCACTCTGTCCTTCAGAAATCATTCTAATATACTGATTTGGTGCTTAATAAACATTCTTATCATTATCAATGTTGAAAACAGTTGTACTGCTTAATATTTTTGTGAAAACCATGACACACTACCATTTACAAGTTTAGGGGATAGAAGATTATTTCTTTTATTCAGCAAGAATGCATCAAATTGATCAAAAGTGATCAAGTGATGTTTCTTTTTTCAGGATTCTTTGATAAGTAAAGAGTTGAAAAGAACAGCATTTATTTGAAATGGAAACCTTTTGTAGCATTATAAATGTTTTTACCGTTACTTTTGATCAAATGAATGCATCCTTGCTGAATAAAAGTTTTAATTTCAAACACAAACCACAAACTTTTGAACATTAGCTATATCTCCCAGCTCCAGTAAAATCAGCATTGTATTTAACCTGTAATATTTAAGTATGATTAGCAGTGACACAGTAGTTGTGTAATTGCACTGTTTGCATACTGTGATGGTGGAGTCAAAATCATCTGCAGGAGCAGTGCTGGCCTAATATCTGTAGACTTCACACTTTTGAAACCGATTAGTTATACTTCTGGGTTTGTGTCTGTTTCACTGGATAAGCTTTAGACACCAGCCTTCAGGTGCTGGTAAAACTTGAAAACTTCCAGGCAATTTATGGCACTCTGAAAGGCCCATAATTCAACGTGCAGGGAAAAAGTTGGGTTTGTTGATCAAAGGCCTGAAATGATCGGACTGATAAACATTGGACATGCTCCAAAACTCAAGTTTCCACCATGACCAGAGCGTGTGCAATGTTGTCTTTACGTCTTCCCTTCCGGGTGCTTGAGCGTTTAGTGGAACAAATTGCCATGAGCCTATACACCCCTTGTTTACCTGTTTTTGTGGAGTTTGACTCTGCATTGCATATGAGCCTTACATAACATCAGTTGATTCTGCACTAATCTGCTGTCTCAGGATTCAATCTGATGACTAATTTGGCTTGACTGCATGAGCGTGCAGCAGAAAAACCTCCACAGATGGGGTTTGTATACATGTTTGTGTTTGTAGGACTGACCATATTTTGTTGTTGTTCTATTGTTTCAGGCTCTTTTCAGCTGGAAGTGTGGAGGAGATCATGGAGAACCTTAAGAAAGATGGCTCTGCTTTTGCACTCAAACAGACTGAGGTGGGTTCAGGGAAAGTGGCTAAACACAAAAAAAAATGACCCAAAAGTGAAAATTGTTGTGATTAACAATTACAGTCTTGACCTCACAGAAAGCTACTTATGACTTTAGAACAGGGGTCTCCAACCTTTTTTACACCACGGACTGGTTACGTTTGGAAAATATTCTCGCGGACCGGCAGGACTGGGGGTGGGGGTATATAGCCTAATATACTGTGTGTGTATATATATATATATATATATATATTAGGCTATTATATAGTGGTTCAACGCATTATATTGTAGGTTTTTTTGAGTGACATATTGGACAATTTTTTTGGATAAGCAAGAAAACAAATATTTAAAGCACAGAGAATGACAATACCGTGAAGGGTTTTTGACCCCCATGTGTATGTATACGCAACTCGGTATTTCCGCGCTGTCTGAAACACGTCTCTTGTGTGTGCTTTGATTGTGTGCGAGAGTGAGTTACGAATTGAGCTCTCTTTCGTTTCTTCTTCTTGTGGTTTAAAATTGCTAAAATTGTACGTGTAAATTGGCAAATTAATCTGTGAATCACGTGCATGCCGAACGGTAGGGTCTCATCCGTATGTATTACGGATCAACTGCGATCCATTTAACTCTTAAAATGTGACAGATCAGAGCAATCTTTCATTTACTTATTTTACATGAAATTGTCAAATTGCTACTCCATATCAATCACATACAAAAAAAATACAGAATAATTAGAACAATCATTAACATAAATAAATAACAGGGTGTCATATCTATACACATTTTTCCCAGAATGTTCTTGCGACCCGGTAGCAATTCTTCCACGGCCCGGTAGTGGGTCACGACCCGGTGGTTGGGGACCTCTGCTTTAGAAGATGGAATATAGTGTGTGCTTTACGATAGATCAGTTTTATAATATTTCTATGGTGTTTTTTTATTTTATTACTATTTTTTTTTTTTATCACTTCAAAGTTTTACAGCTCTCAGCCCTAGTCCTTGTTCACTTTCATTATATTGAAAAGAATGGCCAGGATATGACCTTAATGGCCTTTTTGTGTACTACAGAAAATATAAAGTGATACAGGTTTGGGACAACATGAGGTGAATAAATTATGACAGTATTTTTTATATATTACTTTTTGGATGAATTATTCAATTATTTAGCAGAGTAAGACCCATACGAAGCTCACATTCACTCCCTAGTGCAAGTGATGTTTTAATGAATCTCATAAAATGACATGGCAATAGGGAAGGTCATAGCAAGGTTTGGTTTGTTCTTCATATAGGAGTGTGTTTCCATGTCCTGCTCCTGCAGCTGGGTAAAGCGTCTGATTGATTCTGGGATGTTTAGCGAGATAAACAGAATGAGCGCGTATGGCTTCTAATTTGAGGTCTGTGTGCTCTCTGCTCTCTCTTCTATTGCGTAATGGGCCCTGAATCATATTATACCTCATTAGTATTTCAAAGCCATTCTGTTTTTTCTCCCATAGCGCTACTTTGCCATGCATCACTTTGTTTATAGTGAGCTGTAGAAAGGAAATTGATGTTTGACATTGTGTTCTTTTATTGTTGAATATTTACAGTTGCTGTTGCTCAGTATATGTCTGGACTATTCTTTTTTGAGTGAAATTCTGTTTCCTGTTTGCTGTTTTTGTCCTTTCATGACCTATACAAAGTTACAATATAAATAATCGCAATATCTCATTATACTGTATTATACAAAGTGACCCTGATATAAACAGAATATGCCATTTTAATTAAATGTGAAGATTTATGACCAAACAGGTCATGCAAGGATCTCCCCAAACACAAGGCTGTTCATGGACTGGTCCTCTGCTCATGTGGGGCCTCTTTTTGTCAACAGTTCACTTGGCCATTACCCTTGTGTGTGTGGACCATTTAATGTTTTCCCCAGCTCACACTTTTTTATTTTATTTTAGATGTATTTATGTATGTATGTATTTATTTATTTATTGGGAGATAATTGACAGTTCACAGAAAAATAACAAAATTATGACTTTGTTCACCCAAAACGACACATTTCTGCAGCTTCTGTTAATTTTTGTGAAAACTTAAGCGAACATCCATCCATCCACTGTTTTATAAGTCTTTTAAGGTCTTTGATCAAATCGAAAACTAATTTTAAATGAAATTAAAATCATAACTTTAGCTGCTCGGTCTGTCCAATTCTACGGTGGCCGAGAGAGCTCAACGCGCTTATAATGGTTGTTATTATTACAATTATTATATTATTCTTGCTTTTGTTAAAAAGTATCTTTTCCTTGTAGTTTTTGTCCTAACCGACAGCGACATGTGACAATAAGCCACTGGGATCTGCAAATTCTCACAACACAACCAAATACAGAAACGCGCTGCAAATACAGAAACGCTCTGCAAATTCACAACACAACCAAATACAGAAATGCATTGCAAATACAGAAACTCACTGCAAATTCTCACAACACAACCAAATACAGAAACGCGCTGCAAATTCACAACACAACCAAATACAGAAATGCATTGCAAATACAGAAACTCGCTGCAAATTCTCACAACACAACCAAATACAGAAATGCGCTGCAAATTCTCAAAACACAACCAAAATGCTGCATTTGAATTTTCATGCCACATTATTTGAAATTAGCACGGGCCAAACTTTTTTCTCTCACAGGCCAGATGTGGCCCAGGGGCCGCCTATTGAGGAACCCTGAAATACAGAAACGCGCTGCAAATTCTCACAACACAACCAAATGCAGAAACGTGCTGCAGATTCTCACAACACAGACAAAGAAACGCGCTGTAAATACAAAACAAACAAACAGAAACACGCTGCAGATATACACAGTCCACATCGGAAATGTTTAAGGGATGCGCATTTCTTTGTTTGTGTTGTGTGAATTTGCAGCGCGTGTATCAAATTGATGAAGATGTTTTCTTAATTTGCAGGTGTTTTTTCATTTGCAGCACGTTGAGCTCTCTCGGCCACCGTACATTTCAGATTAATGTTTTTAATTACATTTTTGAATCCACTTTCGTTACTGCCACACATGCTTTCATGCTGTAAAACAAAAAGATGATACTTTGTTGATACAGTCGGATATTTAAATTGCTATTTATTTATTTTCATTATTAAATTCGGTTTTTGTATTGGATTTTACAGACTCTGGCCAAAATGTCCCCAACCTCACTGAAGTTAACTTTCAGGCAGATTCAGGAAGGAGCGAGAATGAGTTTGCAGGAGGTGTTGGTGATGGAGTATAGACTCAGTCAGGCCTGTATGGTATGTAATGCAATTCCCTGTAAATGCAATGCTTTATCATTTCATTACCCAAATCAAATCACCTTAAAGCGGTGTTGGCACATTTTTCACATGGCAGTTATTAGTTTAGGGGAAATATTTGTGTTATTTGTGTCATGAGTTTTTACTCTTGCTTTGCAGAGAGGTCACGATTTTTATGAGGGAGTCAGAGCAGGTAAGACACATTTTCTTCAAAAATTCACATATTAGTGCCTATTAATAAACTGTATATAAGGTGTATCAAATCAGAATGTTGGTTTTAAAGGGTTGGTCAAATTTATTTAAAAAATGGACTCCCTTTAAGTCATGGTTTGACATTTGAATTAAATTGGCCACAACCATAGGATGTTGAATTAAATTGAATTAACCTGAAGAATCATTTTCTCTTTCTGTTATTTAAATTCAAAGACATTCAAAATTTTGTAAATTAAAGCAATCTAGAAGTATAATGTTCTGCCAGAATAATCCATACAATTAAAGTTTGTAATTTACTGAATTTAACATTTACACATTTTAACATTTTACACATATGTTACATACACATTTCTATAAAATTGAACCATAATCTAATGTTTCTGGAAATATCCCATATGATATATGTCTATGATAGTATGTTTATGGTTAATTCATATTTGTGTTAAAACTACATTTGAGATGATGAGTTTCTTACATTTCTGTACATTGTTGATGTAAAAAATTATATAATCTAATAGAGCTGGGTTTTGACACAAATTTCACGATTCGATTCGGTTCTCATTCACAAGCTTGCGATTCGATTTGATTACCGATTCGATTTGATTCAGTATCGATTATTTTGGATGCATATCAGGTACAGAGTACATGCCAAATTTTCTCAAGGAAAAGCTAAATCTCTCCACTAATGCTGTAAAATATACATGAAAGTCAGTTGGTACATTACTATAATATTGAAGGTTAAAATTGACTGATTTGTAGTACAACTGCTAAAATTACACTTAATGAAGTTTTTAAAATAACAAAGTTACAATTACATAATAATATTTCTACTTCAATTCGGGGGTTTTTTTTTTTATATAAACATTTAAATGGTGGTTGTCATAAAAACTTGATGGATTTATTCAAACATAAATTAAACATTGAAGAACAGTAAAAGTTATAATGAATATGTTATATGGTGCATATATTTAGCAAAATGCCCCTCTCTACAGATTTCTATATGATTAATGAGTTTATGGTCACCGAATACGTTTTTTCTGAGGTAAATGTGACGTTACGTGACATTGTTTACAAGCCCATATTGACGTTTTTGCATGGCTGAAAAACTGATTGAGCGATTACATTAGACAGGATATGGATTGTAAAGTTGTACTCTTTCTTTTAACTTACCTTCGGATGTTTAGTCATGATTATTTTGTGCTGAAACTGGTATTAATGTGAAGGAGATGATCAGTTTGTTAAACTGAGGCGCTACAGCGATCTGTCACTTCACATTAAACAGCACCAAAATGGCATTTATTGTTGGAATACTGCAATACAATGGACAGAATTTGAAATCTGAGACTTTATTTCATATTTAAAGTACCAACGCACAATGCTTATTGCGATTTATTGGATGGGAGGTGCGCTTCAATGTTGCGACCATTAACTGAAAACAGGCTAGAATAATCTATTCTTGGGATTTAAAGGAACACTCCACTATTTTTGAAAATAGGCTCATTTTCCAACTCCCCTAGAGTTAAACAGTTGAGTTTTACCGTTTTCGAATCCATTCAGCCGATCTCCGGGTCTGGCGGTAGCACTTTTAGCTGTAGCTTAGCATAGATCATTGAATCTGATTAGACCGTTAGCATCTCGCTCAAAAATGACCAAAGAGTTTCGATATTTTTCCTATTTAAAACTTGACTCTTCTGTAGTTACATCGTGTACTAAGACCGACGGAAAATGAAAAGTTGCGATTTTCTAGGCCGATATGGCTAGGAACTATACTCTCATTCCGGCGTAATAATCAAGGAACGTTGCTGCCGTACCATGGGTGCAGCAGGCGCAATGATATTACACAGCGTCTGAAAATAGTCCCCAGCACGCTCCCTGTGCAAGCAGGTGGTCATGTTGGTTATGTTGACTGAAGTTAGCCTATTTTCAGGCGCTGCGTAATATCATTGCGCCGGCTGCACCCATGGTACGGCAGCAAAGTTCCTTGATTATTACGCCGGAATGAGACCGTTTAACTCTAGGGGAGTTGGAAAATGAGCCTATTTTCAAAAATAGTGGAGTGTTCCTTTAAGAATCGATATCATTCCGTAAAAATGAGAATCGATTAAAATCGAGATATCGATATTTTTTACCCAGCCCTATAATCTAATAATGTCTGTTATTGGCAATTATAAAGGTTATTATAGGGTTTTACCTCAAATTAAAGTGCCTCTTGCAGTATTCTTAGCCAGCTCCACTCACCTAACCAAATTTTTTGTCCAGAACAACTACAGAGAAAAGACTGTCAGATTTTTTCCCTCTCTGCTTGCAGTGCTAATCGATAAACACCAGAGTCCAAAGTGGAAACCTTCTACCCTGTCTGGGGTCTCAGAGCAGGCTATTGAAGAATGTTTCAGCTCCCTGGGTGAAAGAGATCTCAAACTATAGAAACTCTCCTCAAAAATCCCGTAAGCTGCTTTCACAAACCTCTGAAATTTATCAAAGAAATCTGCATTGTTATTTCTGTCAGTATAGCTGACGAATGCAAAAATAATTCTGCTGCTTATAGCTAAAGCAAATGTTCCTCTGAGACTTCTGCACAGATTCACTGATCTTTATGATGAAATGAACAATACTAGTTTCTTGTGGAAATTCAGAGGTTTGGGGAGTTTTCTTTGTGCCATTCCACTGGGAAACGGAATTTAGAGTAAGCTAACAATTGAGAGCAGCCTAGTCATATTTTAAAGGGAAAGTTCATCCATAAATGAAAATTGTGTCATCATTTACTCAACCCTATTTAAAACATGTATGTGATGCTTTTTTTAAACAGGTTAAAAATTACATTAAGTTGAGAATATAATGACAGAATTTTCTTTTTTGGGTGAACTATAGGACAGTATGAATTTACAGCACTATTGTTGGGGTGAATCTTGTTCTGGGAATCATATCTTGCATACTTCATTCTTAAAGGTGTCTTTTTCCTCCATGCTGTGTAATCATTTGTGTGTAAACGCTGTGGAAAGAGAATGGCAGACACTCATTTTTGCACTTGCTGCAATCCGTGATTAACCCTGACAACCTTAACACATACCCTGGCCATGATTCAGTTTGGTGGGATTAAAGTATCGTCATGTGATGCATAATATGACTGCCATTAAGCACAGTGTTTACTACACAGTTCCACTGGCCTAGACTACAGAGTATCAAGCCTGACAGAATAAATCTTAAGGATTTTGAGACGGCGTGATGCCTTCAATTCAAATAATTCAGTTCTCCTCTTCTTTGCTCATGTAACTATGTGGATGTTCATAAAAGGTGTGTGACCTATATGTGTGCAAAAACAAAATATAAAATGATTGTTTTGTATGTGTTTTTGGTTTTGATAGCAGATATGGCATAACATTTCAACAGTGCATCTCAATAAAAACAACAGTGTAAAAAACTTTTGTATTTATTTAAGTAATTAGTAAATTGACTGACAGGCTTAATAGCGTGGCAGCAGACCAGTTAATCTACTTAACAGTTGTGTTTGTTAAAGCATTGCTCATACTTAATTAAGGTTAGGGATTTAAACATGCACCCAACTGCAAGTAGTAAAGTCAGGCACGCGAGGCGTAGCATTGTGCTATAGTACGGACATGAATAATACCTCAAATCATGACATTTAGCAGAGAGGTTTGCTATTAATTTTCGAGAGAGAAAAAATTCATTTTTCTCTTGGTGGTTAATAAATTGACATTAAAATTCCCATAGACTTGCACTGAAGGAGGGCATTTTAAGTCATATTTTAAGTGTTGTGATAAATATGAAACTGAAAGATGGCAACAGTTGAGGTATTGACAAAGGCCATGGTTGGTTTATTGGTGCAGCAGTGTTTTTCCCTTTTCTTTAAATTACAGAACTGAGATTGCACAGACTACAGGTAAATCACTTCTGTCTGAAATATAGACTGAAATATGAAACACAACAATTTTGGTCAGAATCATCAGCAACTCATCAAACATTTATGAGATGACTGGAGACCCTAGGAGAAATCAGCTGGACAGTACACGCTAGTACAAAAATAGTCTGACTGCTGTTTATTTATACTGGTTTTGAAGCACTTTTTTGTTATAGGTGATTACACACTTTTGGCCTAGTATAAGAATGGAAGCTACTGAGAGTAATGAACACCAGTGAATCATGTGCTGATTGTTTTTTTAGATACTGAGATATTCTGAGGTTCTACTCTGAGCACATACTGTAGTGTGCTGAAAGGCCTCATAAAATACAACTTAATCTTAAGATTTCACTCTGCATTTATGACTTTCTATGCAAAAGTATAATGGTCAAAGTGCAGTTCTTGCTTAATTAATTGTCTTTGCAACAGGCCATAACAGTGACTACCCATGTCTTCAGTGGCCTTGGTTCCGGAAGTTATTTTCTCATTTGTTTTCTCCATAGGGATTCGAAAAAATTCTTCAGTTAAACGTTTAAAGCCATTAACCAAAACAAACAGCTTCATCATCAACCTTTGATTTGAAAGCAAAAACATTTTTGGTAATCTGAATAACAAGGCAAAGGTATTTAACTGTGAACTGTGAATTATTTTATGACTGAATATGATATAAAACAAAGATTAAAAATTAAATATAACAAGTATAAAATACATCGATTTATTTTATACTTATGCAATTAAAAAGTTAATTGCAAAACATTCAGATATGCACAAATATGTAAATGATTTGAGAAATTTGATTACACAATGCTCTATGGGAGAGGGTGATCTCTGAAATTAAGATTTTTTAGTAGTTATGTAGTTGAAAACACACTGACGTGATCAAGCTTATATCATTACTTAGCCACATCAGAGCTCATGGTAGGTCTGTCTTAGAAGGTTTATACATTATCACTAAAAATCTATTTTTCTATGGAGAAAACGAATGTGACTTTTACTTCCAGAACCCCACTGTTGCACTGTATTGACCTGGAGATCATTAAAGGGAGTATATGGCTACCTGACAGCATGGCACAAGACCCAGAAGTGCCAATATGACATCAATAAAAAGCATTGGTGAGCAGCTGTTAAAACACTACCAGAAGAGTAATTGTGCTTGTATTAACAATCATTAAGGACATTGGCATGTTTGGTCCCCTGTCTGAATTTTGTCTCCAAGTGGGGGTTTCGGCAGCCTGGTAGCACTAAGTTTGTTTTTATAATGTCTTGGCCTTTAAGAATTGCATATCTGAGCTGCACAGAAGAAAATCTTCTATTAACAAAATAGTTTAATGGCTTAATTTGGGAATTCTTCTCTTTTGAATGTATTCTTTCATGGCATCATGAGAATGCAGGATGATTTGTAATCTCTAAATTTAAGAATCCATGTATCATGTATAAACAACATCTGGCCATAGTGACCACAAGGTTGTTTGTACCAGGAATTACAGTCGACAGAGCTGTCATGTCAAAAAAATTTAGCAATGAAGTAATGTACACTTATTGATCCCTAGCCCCTTAAATAGAAACCGTAACCCCTAAGCAGCCGTTCTCTAAATGTGTGGTCACATTTACCATTTTTCAATGATTTTTCACGGACAAAATCCAGCCATTTCAATAGGAATCCACATGATCAGGAATTTTGCATCAAGGGCGAAAGATTTCCCCACACAGATTTTGCTATGGGTTCAAGTAGGTCGCTTGAATTCTCAGTGCTGACCAACAAAGATTCTTGGTTTGAAAGTCATCACTACACTATTGCCAATGGACCTTTTTTGCCAATGAAATTTCACTAATGTGACCAAGACCAATGGATGGATGGAAAATAGAAATGAGGTACTGTCTGATGTGCTGAGCCACATGAACATGAAAATACTAAAGGCAAAAAAATTTAAGTCTGTACTAAACATGGTTGGGATGATTGTGGCCTTTAGACAGTTGCAGAGACTCTAATTATACGACTGGGCTTTGAGGGTAAACGAGACATAAAAAGATGCAGTCTTGTGGTATAACAGCTCTTAGTTAAGGAAACAGGACCCTAAAACTTTTAATGTGTAAAAACAAAAAATGGCTGAATATTTCATGTGAATCCTTAATTGGTATAAAAAAAGAGGTTTTCAGAGATCAAAAGAACAGCTTCCCAAAATGACATGATCCTCCACTGGCCTGAAGTTGTCTATCTGAAAGCTCTCCTTTACATACAGGAGGGGTGTGAGCCAGGCCAATCCAATCTTACTTCATCCAGTTGAAACGTTATGGCACATCACACTCAATGTAGGGGATGTCACTGTACCGGCTGTCCACCTCAGCCCATTGTTGTACTGCACGGGCCACAATTTCCTCTGAGAGTCTCTGGGCATAGTCCAGCAGCACCGGATTGACCCATCCCGGGTCCTCCATGGAGCCAATCTCTGAGAAAACTAGAACTGCTTTCTCTCCTTGCTTTCCTGGCTTGCCATCCACTTTCTCCGATGAGCTGGAGTTCTGAGTGGGGTCGCGGTGCTTGGATTTCATGCATCCCATGATATAAATAATGTAGCATTGGTTTGAAAGCAGTGAGGGGAAGAGATGCAAAGATGGCGAGATACCAAGGTTATATTCCCTTGTTTGGCAGTTTATAGGGTTTTGTGATGTATGGATAAGATGCTAGGATAAGGACGTATTTCTGTACAAAGTGTAGTTGAGACACTCCAGATGGTCAGCCATGATGTATAGCATCCTCATGGCCACCTCACACTTGCCCTGTGTGAAGAAGATGCATGATTATTGTGAGTTATTTCTTGTCTTCGCCTGGCTAAATATATATTTTCATGATGACTATTTTTCAGTGTCTTGGCAACCTTGTCCATGACATCTTAATGACTAAATCTTCACAGGAATGAGGATTTCCTTATGAGGCAATATAAAGAAAAATGTGTTTTAATAGGCTAAAGCATGTAGTAGTCGACTAGATATGGTATTTATTAGGAATGGCAAGTCTGGCTCATACAACGTTTTAAAGAATCGGTTAAAAAAAATGCAGTGGTTGTTTATGCAAACACATAATTCCGTAATCACACAGATAATGCTGTTCATTGTGGATTTTCTATTTATAAATTGCCGATTCCACCAGTGATTTAATCATTGTGGGTACATACCAATTCGGTCTGCAGGCTGTGAGCGTCAATATTATGGATATTAACACAGAAGAAATCATTCAATCCAAAGCGTTTTTTTTTTTAATGAAAACTGGCATAAATCCACAGTATTAACAGACAGACGCGTCCTCTTCTATACCAGTCTTGGTTACTCCACAGGAGAATGAGAAAGCATGTTGATGAACATGCTCTTGTAGGGTAAGTCGGGTCAGAATTCAACATGTGCGTCCGGAGTCCACATATAATGATGATAACGTTTCAGTTTCATTCCAATGACAGGACAGCGAAGCAGCACAACAGCGCATGAATCCGTGTTGCTTTTGCACTTCTCTCTGTCCATTCAATCATGGCCATCTATATGACTGAATTTGCAGCTGGGAAATTCTTCCTGTTTCTATTCACGGGCACACTTAGTTTATGCTATCCTTGCCTAAACATTTGTTTGTAAACTGGGTAAAATAGGTTACTGCAACACACGCAGACACAGGTTGCGCCTCAGTGTGTTTTTAAACACAATTTCGCCACCTAGTGGAATGACTGTTTTCACTAATACTATAGATTAGATAAATATTTCTAACAGAGGGGTTCCCAAACTTTTTCATGATAGGCCACCCTAGAGATGTATAATCTATTTCCTATCAGAAACTTTTTTTAGTAAAATATGAGAAAATAAACTAATTTGTTTTCTTGTCATACAGCATATACAGATAGAGAATATCTCTGTCACCAGAGCTGGGTAGTAACTGATTACATGTATTCTGGATTACATAAACAGCTTCCAAAAATTAAGTACTTGAAATTTGATTAAAATACATCAATTACAATCAGACTACATTTTCTATTGATTACATGATTACATATTACTCGCACAATACCAATAAATTATTCATAATTGATTGATTCTCCCTAATTCCTTATATCTTTTAAATGCTCCTTTCTAAAATAGCCTACCACTTATATACATTCAGAAAGTCTTCCAGTTTTGTGGACCTTCACACAAAGACCAGTTACTGGTCAGATGGCTGTAATTATACACAGAAAACTGAGAGGGCCACACAGCATTTGACCACTGGATTTACCTAAATCGTTTTCATTTTAATAAGTGTGTTCTCAACATTTCAACATTGCATCAACTACTGATGAACACATTACTATTTATTTGACTTATCACTCAGTAGGTTATTTAACCATGTATTACTATGTCTTTGGAAGGCTTTTTTCTTTCAAACACATTAAAATGCACAAATTCACGTTATTTCTCATTTACATGTAGGGATTCACAAACTTTTTTTTTTGTCAGCCGAATCTCTTTCACATTTATTTGAAGTCCCCCCTGAGATTTTAAGGTAATAAGTTAATAATTAAGTAACACATTATGTTCACGGTTCTCTGACATTGGTAAATGATCACATGATATGCAGGTAAACATATCATTTTTTTTTTTTTAGTAAGTGTTTTATTTTAATTGTTATTTTAAAATGATTTATTGTAATTTTCCATTTCTATGATTTAATTATTAGCTTTTCATTAAACTTGTGTACCTCCCGCAGTTCCTTCACAAGCCCCAGTTTGGGAAACCTTGACGTAATGTAATGTTTAGTGCACTTTATTATGTTAACAAGAAGACATTTTTTTTTTCTTTTTCTTTGCATTTTTATATCAATATGGTACATTATTATCCTATTTAAATCAATATGATAAACTAGTTAGGTCAAAAGTCATCTAAAGCTAATCAAAAATTAGTCTGATAACATACTTTCCAGAAGGCCAACAATTCACAAAAAACATTTTTTTTATTTGTCTTATGAAGTATTCTAATTTGTTGAGCTAGTGAATTGGTGGGTTTTTGTTAAATGTGAGCCAAAATCATCACAATTAAAAGAACCAAAGACTTAAAATACTTCAGTCTGTGTGCATTGAATTTATTTAATACACGAGTTTCACAATTTGAGTTGAATTACTGAAATAAATTAACTTTTCCATGACATTCTAATTTATTGAGATGCACCCGTATTACCTAAAATGTGTAATGTAACGAATTAGGTTCCTAACTACATTTTTTTGTCATGTAATTTGGAATCAGTAACGGATTACAATTTTCAAGTAATCTACCCAGCTCTGTCTGTCACACAAGTGTGATTCAATAGTTAATTCCGTGAAGGTTTCGTCACACTGATAAATTGAGTTTGAGCTGTAGTGTATGCTTACCAAAAAATGTTCACTGAATTTGAAAATTATATTTTTCCACGACCCACGGTAAAAACCACAGTTAAAACAGAATTTACGAAGACACTTGTAAATCGCGTTCCTTGCGTAGTAACTATAGCAACAGGTTCCATTCTTACATACAGTAGGCTTACTGTCATTAATTAAGATTTTATTACAAATTTACATTTCATAAGTAGGCCTATACCACAATCAAATAACCGATTTTAGGAAGCGAGTTACAATACATTAAAAAACATCAAACAAACAAGCACGATAATTTCAGACTAGATCATTTTATATCACGTTAGGTATTATCCTAAATCCACTGGAACTTAATAAAGAAAGATTTCAGCATAGTCATTATGTTTTGAATCTTCGATTCTTCCTTTTTTTATATTCACATTATTAGACTGAACCGAAGATATAAGTGATGGGATAATTCCCTGTCATCAGCTCATTATCACAAAATGTTCCCAGACTCCAAGCAGAGTCTTGTATGGCCTTGAAACTGTTCATTTTGCAATAATGACCGGATGACTGCAAATTATCCTGCTTATTATCCGGCTCCTTGCCAAATAAATAAATGGACATGAAATATTGATTTGAGGTGAAATTATGTTATTATGTAAGAAGGAAAACTGCGGAGTAGTGCAAGGAAAATCGGTTGCCATGTACCACAGCTGGCCAATCAGAATCAAGTCATGACTTATTTTCTCGCCATAATCCAACACAATTATAATTTCTAATGTATACTAGAAGTTGTATATTATTTTTTGTATATTTTTCTTTGTTATTTTCCTCGTCTACTATCTTTATATGTATCATTTTAACTAATAACTGTGCAAAAACTACAGATATTTGAGAAAAGGGGGGTCCGGGACATACCTCACCTGCGTTACACAAGTTATTCCACAAGATGGCGCTACGTATCTTACCCACGGGTCTAAAAAAATGAAGAAGCTGCAGCTATGAGGGAGTGCTGAACAAATAAGATGAATTGTGATTTTTCGATATCTTACGTTTAAAACTTTACATATGTAGTGAAATTAAATTCCGTTGCATTGACAGAATCGACAAGAATATTATCCAAACATTTGCCTTGACCTTTTCAAATACACATAAAAATAGGACATAGGGAAAATTATGTATGGATACTGTTAAGATAAAAACAAATATTCTGTTGATTATGATTTCATATGCATAAATGTCACATGTAGCCTTTACATTATGGGTCAGATGCGTTTGTATAGTGAGTAGCCTAGATGCACGCACTGAAATGTTATAATAATTATGCGTATTTTTCATATGCATGTGCATAATTTGTATTCAAGTTCGGCTGATTCCTCCACGACTCCTCTAAGATGTCATGCCTCTTTAAGAACTGCGAAAGAAGTCCAGCTATGTCCATTAGGTTTATTGTTGCCAGCTCAGCCAATCATTGAATCTTACGACACAATAGAGTGGCCAAAGTTGCAGTATAAAAAGCCTTGCCGAATTTAAGCATGACATCTACTTGTCCGGTGTGTGTTGAGGTTCATTTCCATAGCAAATCAGATCAAACATCCTTTAGCACGCTTTGGAACATGCATTTTACACGGGTTTTACTTTCTCTAAGTGTATTAATTGCATGTGGTTCAGTGGGTCATGGAGATATAACGGCGCATCAGCAGCCTTCCACAGCCACGGAGGAAAGCGAGCAGTGTTCCACATGTGAGTTCAGACAACACAGCAAGCTGATGAGACTGCATGCCATCAAGTCCCAAATTCTTAGCAAACTCCGACTCAAACAGGCTCCAAACATCAGCCGGGACGTGGTCGAGCAGCTGTTACCCAAAGCACCGCCTTTGCAACAACTTCTGGATCAGTACGATGTTCTGGGGGATGACAGTAAGGATGGAGCTGTGGAAGAGGACGATGAACATGCCACCACAGAGACCATTATGACCATGGCCACAGAGCGTAAGGATCGTATATTTCAAAGATTCATTCAAGTATATGTATCCTCTTAACAATGGACAAAAAATAGGGTAGATAGGCTACTTGGAGAGACCCTTTACGCAGTCTTTACGTCCAAGCCATTTGCACTCACAAGACGGCTATTGTGCATTAAATGCACAGTTCATGCAAAAATAATTCTCGTTTACTGATTTTTTAAAGGCTTTGTGTTGCTCCTTTATCAGTCTTGCTAACCCGATTTTACGCACGCTGAACATGGAAGCGCAGCAAAGCGCACCAGCGTCGGTCAGAAGAAAATGGTTTCACCTTTACCACACGTGACATTTACAAACTAGTTGAAACTGGGTCATATCTCAGGCATTATTTCTTAGGTAAAAATAAAAAAATAGCCGATCCATTAGTTTTTAAATATAGTATAAATGTTTCCTTCCGCAATGCCGTATAAGGTCTTTTTTAATGTAAATGACTACATATATCTGAACTATATATATATAGTCAATCACATTTTTACATTTAACTGTCTGCTGTATGTCTGTAATGCATTGTATTTTGTGGGCGTAGTCAACATTTTTTAATTTATATCAGTGCGCCACATCATAAACTGCTTTAATGATAAAACCTGTAGATATAATCATGAATACAGTCCGTATAATCGCTCTTTCTTTTTTTTTCAGCTGACCCCATCGTTCAAGTAGATCGGAAACCGAAGTGTTGTTTTTTCTTCTTCAGTCCGAAGATTCAAGCGAACCGGATCGTAAGAGCGCAGCTGTGGGTTCATCTGAGACCGGCGGAAGAAGCGACCACCGTCTTCTTACAGATATCACGGCTGACGCCCGTTACGGACGGAGGAAGGCACATACGAATACGATCCTTGAAGATCGATGTGAACGCAGGAGCGACGTCTTGGCAGAGTATAGATGTAAAACAGGTCCTGGCGGTGTGGTTAAGACAACCGGAGACCAACTGGGGCATTGAGATAAACGCGTTTGACGCGAAGGGAAACGACTTGGCCGTCACCTCAGTTGAGGCTGGAGAGGATGGACTGGTGAGTTGAGCTGTTGTGGTTACCACAAATGCGTTTTTCGTAAAATATAACCGCTTTTAGACAGAGCTTTGCCAACAGTAATTGTTGTGAATAGCACTATTGAGAAATTATTTACATGGTTTAGTTATGCAATACTTCGTTTAAAATAAAAAAATATTTTTAGTGAATTAATCTGGATCTGAATCTAAAGTTACTTTCGCCATGTC